ACTGTAATGCACTGGAAGCACGCCATCATTTCTGTTTTTTTTTTTTTTTTTTTTAATATTTAAGGATAATACATTCATGAGCGGGTACTTCTGTTATTGAACAAACAAATTTTTGCGCAGCTCAGACACAGACCCTCCCACAGTAGGCAGACAACGCCTCTTTTGCGGTCGCCCACGCGACTTCCCTTTTACCTTTGGACCATAAAACTTCTACAACTTCGTACATAATCTCGTTTAATTGTCACGCCATGAAAGACGAAAATACATTTTCCTTAGGCTCTTTCTTCAATTTTCACGGCGGCCTGCAAAAGGGCGCGAGCATGCATCAAAAATAGAGTGACGCGTCGAGTTTTTGGGGGCAAGTGTATATGATGTGTGTGTGTGAGGGGGGGAGGGGAGGGGGTCGGAGTGGTCATGCCATAAAGGTGGGGAACATGAACTTATTTTTATGAATACATCCAAGTATCTACACTCAAAATTGGTGCTGTATATGCCTCAAAGCTACAAGTAATTGCATTAGGAAAATATTACACTGTTTAAGTGAATACTAAACGTATTGCATTTAAGAGATCATTTATTAACTAAACGATTCTTTCACTTTAACTGAAGAAACTTAGTGGTTTCTGTATTAAAATGTAAATTAAAAATGATGCAAGAAATATGAAACCGGCTCTCATTTAAATTGTATCTGGTTATTTAATATACTCCTAGAAAAACCTTATGAGCTCTAAGGTCCTCTCGTCTACACTAAGAAAAATAAAATAATAAAACTTATCCATGGGAGATATACTCCAGCAGCAAAAGTTTAGAGATTTACAAGCAATATAACAGTGTGGTTTACGTTTTTAACAAAAAATAGTCATTTGTAATGCTTCTGCTTTACAAATGTCTGAAACTTCAACTGTGGGAGTATCTGAATAAAGATGAAGATGAAGCTGAAGACGGTGTCAAAGGAGGCTGCATGATCTGGCTACGAGGCTCTCTATTGTGGACCTTTATTTGTTTTGAAAATTTGCAAATCTTGGTGGGGATTTGTATGAACATGTATGTTTTCAAAAAAGAAAACATACATATATGCAAGTTGACAAATATTCAAATAAAAATAATTGCATCTGATCGAAAGGAATGACATGCTATATGAAAGTGAATAAAAATTTAATATATCATACACACATAAGAATTATGATTACTCAATCAAATTCTTTCTGTCAGTGTAGAAATGCTTTCAACCACACCACATTGCATTGCGCACACAATCCATGTTCATAGTATATGGACGATGTCGAGGCCGAAGCATTTCCACTAATTAAGTTCTATTTCACCGAACCCCGTCGCCCTCGCTCAACCACCTCCAGCTTGCCCCGTGCGTTGTAATGAAACCACTTCGGTTCATTGGCGCTTCGCTCTCCAGTAACAAATTTGTTGTGCTTTGCTTTGTTTCTTTTCGTACGCATTTTGCAGATTGCACAATTCTCTTTTGTTAATTTTGTTTTTGTTGTTCATGTTCGCTGCTTTTTTCTTTTTGTTTCTCGCTTACAACTCAATGACTTGGTGTTGTTTTTGCCGTTTTTGTTACAAATTGAGGTTGATTTGTTTGTTTTGGTTCTATATTTGTTGTTTGTGCTGTTGTTGCTTTGTGTTTTAGAAAGTGTGAAGAGAGTCTAAATGAAGTTGTCTTTTTTTTTTCAGTTGATCAGCATTGTATTAAGCAATGGGTGAGAGAATCGGTCTATTAGTTGGGATAGGAAATTTTATTGCTGATTTTTGTTTACGGAATTGAAAACCTTGTACTCGTATGTTCGGCTTTTGTGAATACTATATAATAATAAAACAACTATTTAAATCGGTTTCAAATACGATAAAATTAAGTGCAGCTCAAGCAAGTTTTGAATAAAAAGTTTTGATGGCTTACAAATTGAAAAACTTGTTGGCTCATTGTAAAATTGAAGGAAAATGGGTTTATTAAATAAAGAGCCATTGTTACTCAATCAACGATTGTTTCTGCTTGTTAAAAGGTAGTAAATGCTGCGTAGCACAGCAACACTGGCGCGGGCGTTATAATAAGCTCTGAAAGAGCTTTTCAAAAGCTTTTACTTTTGCTTCGGCACTGCGCGTCTCCAATTGAATAAAAAACACTGCTTGCCGCGAAACACACATTTTTTTTCATTCTGTTTAATTCGATATTATTTGTGTACAATATTGTTTATATACTTCAAAGTTTATATACTTGAACAAATTCACAAAATAGGTGAAGAAGTCAAGTTGATTGAATTTTCGGACCTCTCTGACTGATTGAGTGACTGTTAAAAACGCTATAAAAATTAAAAACAAATTAAAAACTAGTTTTGCCAATAACAACAAATTGGTCAACCACAAAAATATACACACTTGCAAAATAACAAAGTAGTAGACGAAAAAATAATATAATAATAGCGCAACCAACTTTGTTGCTTGTCAACTCAATTGCTTTAAAATAAAATATTGAAAACTGGTATTTGACTTTGGAATTTATTCTATGTGCGAATAACTTGTTCAAAACTTTTTTCACAACAAACAGAATAAAACAAAACTGGAATATTTATACAAATAGCAATAAAGCTGTTAAATGTAGTTCAATGTCAAGGAAATTCATGGAAATTCATAGTTGACATACAGTGATCGTTTTATGTACATAAGTATTTGCATTCGGGTATGTATGGGCGTCAGTTTCTATAAAACCTCAACCAAGGTCATGCTGGGCAAAGAAACTAGGACACGCCCACCCAGTCCACTACATTCATATGTAAATGGCATCGTAAATAGGTCGTCAGCTAGGCCTAAATGTCGCACGTTTGATTGTTAAGGTTTCAGCCCAAATATGAAGAAAGACCATTACAACGCACATGTCTAAGAGGGCAGTCTCTTTAATATTCTTTAATATTCTTTGTAAAATACAATTTGAATTTAAACATAGTTTTCGTAATTAAATCAATATCATTGAAGTCTCAAATGCTTCCACGGCTGACATTTTTCGTTAGCAAGCTTATTCAAACTTAGCGCAAATACCAAAGTAATATTTAAATCATTTTTTACTTGGACAGTTTAGGTTCTTACAGATGTCTTAGTTTAACTGAAAATTATGTTGTTTTTCGATTCACTTTATTTGGGAGCGATATCGCCAGATCTCTGAACTAAACCTTCAAAAATTAAGTAGACAATTAAATCAGTGTGGATTCACCATAGATTAGGGCTAGACTACAATTTGTCTGCATTTTCGCACATTTTAAAAATTATTATTTATATTATGAAAAAGCTCATATTACGGGTACTTAAATATAATTTAAATAAATTAAAGCAAATTTAAATTTAATATACTTTTGAAACAATATTAATATTAGACCTTTATCTAAAAATGATTAAAGAATGAAATAAATGTGTTCCTCAAACCAATTATTTACATAAAATAAATAAATCGTTGCCATGGTGCTTAATCGATTTATATACATAACTATATTCATTTGCAGTAACAATCGTAGTTGATTAATGATGTCAGAAAGCATTTCACAGCTCTGGCCAACAAAATTTGGAGCAAACTTCATAGGCTTTCAAACCTAGAAGACTACTCAACGTTGTCAGCAACTACCCTCGCTTGTGCTTTTAAAAAATAAAAAAACTTGTGACACTGAACATGTGGCAAAAATTTACTAAACCGTTTGGTTTTGTTGTTGTCCATAATATTGTTGCATTATAAGCAATTTGTTAAAAGAAGCACGCAATTTGGAACGTGATTAACATTTTGAGCGTTTGCGCTCAAATCGATTTCTGTCAGGAATGCATTTGAGTACACAACTAAATGTTTGTTTAATTGTATTTTTCCGGCGCGCAGTCAATAAAATCATTACAATTAAATGAAATTAATGTTCAGTGAAATTGATGCCTTCTAGACAGTCTTCCCAATGTTTGTGCGCAACTTGATATCGTTTCTTGGATTGTCTCGACTGTTGCGTCGATTAATTAAATTAAAATGAATTTATGTCAATTTCAGTTGCTTGAAAAGGAAACTGACACAGATATAAAGAAGTTTGTTCGCAGTTTTTTCGACATCCCACCCACGTTTTTCTACTTTGGGTTTTTTTTTTCAGCAATGCCATTTGCATTTATCAATAAATACGAGTGTGTATTTTCCATTGTGCATTGTGTGGTTGATGGAAGACTGATGTCATCTCTAACAGAAAGCTGTAGAAAGTTTTGCACCACATTTAATTGCAATATTTATTGAACAATTTTGTTATTCCTTTATGAGCAGTAAGTGTTGCATGAAAGCCTTTCAATCTACTATGGTTTTCATATAAAATCAGTGAGATTGGTTAACGGACAATGAAGAAAGTACAATTATTTTAATTTGGTGTTGGGTTCAAAACGAAAAATTGTGTGATTATTTATCAGTAGTTATTACAAAGATGATGGATTATGTACATTTATTTTATGTATATATATATAGCCTTATTTTATAAAGCCTCTATAGCGCATCGATATCCTCTAAAGTTTTATCAAAATCATCATACAGCTATAGGAACGATAGGTGAGGAAAGTGAGCTTAGTACAAAAACTGGTTTATTTTTAAAGATATTGTAAATAATGCCCTACCATGACTTGATAGTTGTATGTTGATATACGTGTACATGTAGAATATCATTTCCAAACCGTGGAGGACACGTTTTCTCTCAAAATATTATTACTCGCTATTCTCACACCACTTCCTCTGTGTGCGACAATAAACATTGCTCGATTAGTTCATCTATGTCTGTTGCGCCTGCGCGGAAGCTCTTTGCCTTTGTAATTCTTTTTATCTAGAAAAGTGTCGGCTTTTTTATTTAAATACTTCTTGTTTAATGGACGTTCAATAGCGGAAGTGCACTTGTGCATTCAATAAAATATTGAGGGCTCGCTTAGAGTTAGAGTTAGAAAATGTTTATACTGACTAGATGTCTCAGTATTGCTATTCATGGTGCGGTACTTACCAAAATCGAAATGATACATGGTTGGCAGATCGCGCGGCGTTGTCGTGCGCGTCAGTGAGAGGGGCGTGCTGGGCGGTGTGGCGATAAAAATCGCCTCAAGTTGTCGCGGAGACGCTGCCATCTTCACATAGACCTGGTCGTGTGATGATTGAGTTCCAGGTGGTTGGGCGGCAAAGAGACGAGATGTGGCGAAAAATCACAAAGTTGGCTTAGGCACTTGTGAAAAATTTAATTTATGCAATGAACCCGCTTATAATTTCGGTTTTTCACGTTTCCTCGTATTTCTTTTTGTTTTTTGTTTTTGTTTCAGTCAATTTCGAGTGGAAGTGTTGCGGGCCGAAAGCCGAAAAACAACAAACGGTAAAAAAGATTTTCTTTCACATGCAATGCCGTGGAAAATTTACATTTTGCACAGACATCGCCATCCACAAAAAGGGAAATTGCAAATGGCTTGCGTTTTGTTCAAAATGCAAACTTACACATACACCACTACAGATTATTTATTAATGATTTTGCTTCATAGCTAATTAATCATATTTCGTTTTCACTGCACTTTCAAAAATCGTAGACATCCATACACACTATACTTAGTTTAGTAATATTTTTGCCAAATGCTTCGTTTCGTTTCTTTCCACAATTTTGCACGCAACCTTATTTTTTTTTTGCTCAGTTACTTTTCGATTGGTTCACATTTGGGGCTTTGCAAAACCATTATTAAACAAATTTACTTTGCTATTACTTTAGTGGCTATAGTTGTGGTTGTTGTAGTTGTTGTTGCACATTCTTTCCAAAAGCATATGTTTGCGCAGCCCAGCCTGCCATATAATTTGAAGTCTGTCTGTCTGGTGGGTGGGTGTGGTGTGGTGTTGTGTTGTTGTTTTTGTCTGCCTTTCCACTCTCTATCTGCGCTTCGTTCGTTGGTTTCTGAAAAAGGTCAGAGCGTGAGATTTTTATGAGTACTCGTATGGTTTTGGACGAGTTTATGTTTTTTTTTTTTCAAATTTTCATGTTCATGGCTGGGAGAAACACGTTTGGTGTCAAAAAACTCTGAGCCACAGTCGAATTTTTCGCAGAGTCTTACAAATTATACGCGAATTACATAATTCAATAGAATAAGCCAAAGTTGGAGCCAAACAAACAATGGTTAGGCAAGCTTTTTGTGTATCTCTATCTGGCAGATACGAAACCCAAATGACAACAGCAAACGAACGTGAAACTTGTCTGCCCGACGTTCCCAATGAGGCTAAGCGCATATTAGCTAATTTGCAAAACGCAACACCAACAACAATAACAAAAACAAAAACAACAGCAACTAGCTTGTTGTACATACATATAAACACAAAATAGAATATGACGAAATAGGCTAAAGTTAGTTGCTGTGGTGGCCATTAAACCGTATTTCTATTTCGTTTCTTTTGTCATTTGGGTTTGGCACAAGTTGAGTTCAAATTGATCGGCAGATTTTGCTAATTAATTACCGTACCGTTAGTGTTCGTTTCTAGTTCAAGTTCGTCATATATCACTTTTCTGTTGTTATAGTATATAGCTCTCTACTTATTTGTAGTACGGGTATCTATGTAGCTGCCCGTTAGGCTGAGCTGTTGAAACGAGACTAAAAGCGCTCTGAGAATTTGCAGCACTTGTGCGTAATATCAGGCTGTCGCTGGTTGTCTCTTATTGCTAATTGCAAGCGAAAGTGAACTCTGTGTGTACAAGATAACGTCATCATCATCATCACCATCATCATTATCATCTTCATTCGGATAATTTGTTGTTCAATTAACCCACTGACAGCCCATTTGAAGTATTTAGCAAGCTTTGTGAGAAAGTCGCTCCATTTGACTGGAAATATATTCAAAGTAATCCATATGTAAGACTTACTTGAACTAGAAGCTTCCTTTTGTTCTCATTCAGGATCACAAGTCCAGTAGTATTTGACATAGATGTAGCCTTTATTTCTATGTAGGTATGAGCAGAGTAAGCCCGGCATAATCTTCAAGGTACCAACCCACAATTTTCAAGATCCCACATCCCCTACTTCGATGTCTTACTAAAGCGTGCTTGTTAGGTTGGAGTTGGGAAGCAGAGCCTACATATAGAAGTACTAGACATACCCACCAAGCTGGCAGTATCGTTTTGAATTCTTTGTCTTTTCTAACTAAAGCTTGCCAAGGGTACTTTTTATACCCTGTACCCAAAGGGTACAAGGGTATATTAGTTTTGTGCGAGTGCACATGGAACACACAGAAGGAGGCTTGGTAGACCCCACAAAGTATATATATTCTTGATCAGCATGACAAGCCGAGTCGATATAGCCATGTCCGTCTGTCCGTCTGTCCGTCTGTCTGTCTGTCTGTCTGTATGAACGCAAGGATCTCCGAAAGTATAAGAGCTAGAATAACCAAACTTGGTATACAGATTCTCCTGAGACCGAGAAAGGACGAGTTTGTTCATTTTTTCTGATCCACCCCTCCACTCCCCCCCTATTAACGATTTTCTATAACTCCCGTAATTCTTGGAATTTTGAACTAAAATTTGGTAGACACATCCAGTTAGTAATTGTATATCCGTATACCAAGTTTCATTATGATAGAATGATCGGAAAGAAAGTTATAGCCATATAACCAGGCCCAATGCACACATACATACATATGTACAAGTACACAAACACGCATAAGGCACGATTCTGATGTAAATGTAAATGTATCTATGCATGCATGGAATATTTAGTTAATTAATTAAATTAATTTAGTTAATTAATTAAATTAATTAATTAAATTAATTAATTAAATTAATTAATTAAATTAAATTAATTAATTAATTTAATTAAATTAATTTAATTACTTTTTTGTGGGGTGGTACAGGGTATTTAAGAGTTGAGCCTGCTCGACTTTAGCATTCCTTTCTTGTTTTAACTTCCGTTTTCGCCAGCTTATCAACAAGTGCGTTTTATTCAATTCGGGAGATAGGCGAACAATTAACAGATATATTTGTACTGACTAATTCTGTCATGTCTGATGTTTGGATCCAACATAAAGAGATAATCTTTTCAATCTTAAGTCGGTAGAAAATTAAATTTGTACCTATATAAAAATAATATTAATATTTTTGTCTAAAACATTAAATCAAGTAAGAAAAATGTAAAAACAATTAAATTTATTCCCAATAATACTTAAATCCTTTAAATATATACCATTTTATAATATAATAATACATATTTAATAAACAGTTGAGTCAGAAGAAGAAGACATAAAAAAGACAATTTTATTTATAGATATAGCAATTTCTATATTCCATAAATCAATTGGGTTTCACTTTAAGCTTTATTTTATTTCCTGAATGAGCTAAGAATGAGTCACGAATGAATTATAAATTAAATAAAAAGTTGTGAGGGGCAACTTCTTCTTGCAAGCAGAATATTTCTCAATACCAGCCGAATCGCATCCCTATATCATGGAGTGGTAATAGATTCGATTATGATTCGTATATTGTTATGGAAAACTTATTTCTTGTTATCGTAATTAGAGACGTAATTACTGGCATCATTTGACAGGCGTCTGTTGTTGATCTTCACATTTGTCAAGCTTTCATCATTTGTCAGACTTAGACTTTGTGGCTGGAAAATAAAGGGGAAAAAAGCCCATTTGTCTGTTTGCCAATTCTTTGGGCCGATGTTTATGGTCATTGTGCGTAAAGCTTGCTGTTCAAATATCAATTAACGTCCGTCTTCTAATGATGCTATATTGGGTCTGCCTTTTCACATGTTTTCTATGGTATTTCGCTTGGACATGGGACCATTAGGCTAAATGGTTGGATTGTGTTGAAAATCGGTAAACAAATCACAAGGCAAGGCACACAGACAAGTGTGGCTGGTGGAGGTCAAGGGTTACTGATCGTAGAGTGTGGAGCTCTAATGGCCTTTATTCTACGATCTCCAACTAGACAGCACGAGTACGAGTAGATGAGGTCAATGATAGTAAAGTAAAAAAATAACAAGTCCACACTATCTCAGAGCTTAAGAGTTCAGATACCAATGCAATATGAGTCGCGACATTGCTGATAACAAGATATGAGTGAGTTAATAAAAATAACATGACTACAAGCAACGCTTGTCAATAAAAATTGGTTCTGTTGCTGCCACAAATGCTGATAAATATTTAGAACATGTATGTTCTTGTGTAATTTTGTTGTTCTAGTAGCAGATAACTTGTTTTAACCATAACTGTGCCCCACATACTGGTACAGAATCAGCTCCTTGGCCGGACAAATGAAGACAGAATTTATGTGATTATTGTGCATAATTTAAATTGAAACATTTGGCGGCTATCTATAAAATTGGCCAAATCCATTAGTTGAGTGATACATACTATATATACGAGTGTCGTTTGCGGCCTATGCATACTTTTAGCATTTCCATAATATACGAGTATGAATACGATTATATATGTACATATAGGGCGGGCAGCTGTGCCGTACGTGCCCAGATTTGTGATTACTGGAATGAATAACCGAGCCATTGAATGTGTAAGATTGGGGGTGAGTTACACAGAGTTGGCGAACTAGCTTATATGTAGATAATGGTATTCTCCAATCAGAAACGGATTTGTAGAGGCAACTATCATTACAGCTAACCAAAAAATTGACATAATCATCGGTGCTCTGACAAATTAAGTTTCCTATAAGTTTTTGTTTAGATTGACAATGTTTTTGCCTTATATAACCGATTATAATATGAATAGGAGATTTACTAAATATGTGATTATATTTCAGTTACTTTAACTTTTCGTTTTAAAAAATGTTGTTGAATTCAATTCATATTTAAATTTTGTTTCACACAGTGTTACTTTGACAAATTAAGTTTCCTATAAGTTTTTGTTTAGATTGACAATGTTTTTGCCTTAAAATCGGTTAATATTGCTAATATGAATAGGAGATTTACTAAATATGTGATTATATTTCAGTTACTTTAACTTTTCGTTTTAAAAAATGTTGTTGAATTCAATTCATATTTCAATTTCGTTTCACACAGTGTTACTTTGTATGCATAAATCGGCTTCTATATATCAGATTTCCTTGCAATTTTGACAGGTTGTGCCTAACCGAATCTATGTGGAGCCACCAGAAAGCTATATT